AACTTGAATTCTTTTGCACTCAAGGCTGGTGTTCTACCACTTGAGCCACAGCCCCACTTCCAGCTGTTTTGGTGGATCATTGGAGATAAGAGTCTCATGGACTTTATTATTATTACTTTGCTCAGGCTGGCTTTGAACCATGATCTTCAGATCTCAGCCTCCTCCTGAGTAGTTAGGATGGCAGGCATGAGCCACCATTGCCTGGCTAATGGTGAGAATTTTGAAGAGTAGGTGACAGCTTCCTTAGGAAAGGAATTACAGACTCGGGTTTTGAATGTAGCAAGTGACGCACAAGCAAAGCTAACTCACACTTACACGGCTATATATTTTACCCAATAACAGAGTCCATAGCTTTTCCATGGGTCTATGATAGTCAACAAGATAGACAATAGGTAGGGCTATAAAACAAGCATCAAAGTTTTTAAGTGAATTTTATTATAGAAAAGATAGTGTCTGAGCCAGGAATGGTGGTTCATGTCTACCATCTTAACAACTCAGGAGGCAGAGATCAGGAGGATAGTGGTTCTAGGCCATCCTGGGCAAAAATTTCCTGAAGAGACCAACTCAAGCAATCAAAGCTGAGCATCATGGCACATGACTGTCACATGAGAAACTTTAAACAGAGCATTGTTAGCATGCCTGCACTCCTAGCTACTCAAGAGGCTGAGATCTAAGGATCCAGGTTCAAAGCCAGTCTGGGCAGAAAACTCTGCAAGACTCAATTCCAATGAACCATCCCAAGGCAGAAGTGTCGCATCCACCTCGACCAGCAAGGAAGACACAACCCGGGAAGGCGGAAGGCAGAAGCCAGCACCAACTTTGGTTGTGGCCGTGCCATGCGGCCCCGCCATCTTAGGTCGGCTCCCGCAGCTCTCCACAGCTCCCCCTTTTTTGTTTTATTGAGCGACAGGTAAGAGTAGAGGTTGGGCCTCTGTCTGAAACATTAATGAGAGGACCTTGCATTGGTCTTTGCCTGAGGTGCGCGCCTTCCCCAGTGACGACCAGGCCTGTCCGATGCCTTTTTTGCAGAGGTGGGATCTTGGGCATCAACCCACTTGCAACCCAACATGCTCTTCTTGGGCTCACGCCAGGAAGTGATTCCCATGTGCAGTGCGTTTGCCCAAGTGTAGTGCGTTTGTCTTACACCCTGTGTTATTCTCTTAATGTGGCAAGCCACACGTGAGGGGACTGTCCGGCCTCAATGGCAGTAAAGGCCTGGACTACCATAGCCATACTTCTGTGCTGCGAGCTCCTAATCCGGTATATGTACCACAGGCACAACAAGATCACCAATGCCAGGATACCAATAAGGGAGCCTATTCCCGCCCACTCCTTAAAATGATCCACAGCTGTCAAAATCCAGGAGGAAACATCTTGTAACAGGGCATCATCCATCCGGGTGGAGTTTACCACGACAATGGCCGATAGTAGCTGTAACATCAATTGGTCGAATTCCCCCGTCCAGTTGCCTAACTTGACAGTTGTTTAGACAAATTTGCTGCTTGGGTATAGTTATAATACTGAGTAGCAGTAATACAAAGCCCTTCATATTTTTGAACACATCCCAGCTGAGCCAACTGCCACATGATATCAACCTGTTCCTGTACAAGGTCGATCCTTTGATTTAACAGCATCAGTCCTCCTTTTAATTGTGCAATGGCCACTTGTAAATCCAGAGCTCTGGCTGTAGTAGCCGACAAGTTATTTAAAGTCTGAGCCATCTGCACAGTATGTGACATGGCGACAGCGGCAGCCATCGCACCCACAGCAGCCACAGCTATAGCAGTTACAATGGCCGCAGTGATGCCAAAATCTCTCTGATGCCTAAACAAGGTTACAGCTTGAGAAGCATCTACTGGCACAGGCACCCAATGTGGGATGCGTGTAACCATAGCTAACGGATACTGAGAACTCCAGCAGGTAGCATAATAGCAGGTTTCATTAGTACAAGCACACACATCATCTGAGCATTAGCAAAGCGACCTTGTCCTAGGGGCATGTCTCTGTCCCAAGCCTGGCGTCTGTTCGCTTGATTGATGCCTGTCTGTTCATTACAAAATTCCAGCATAAATGCCCTCCAATCCAAGTATTGGCCTGGACTCAAACATGCTCGTGCTAGGCTCGCCCAATCAGAGGGGGTCATGCAATATCTCTTTATAGCTTCCACTTGAGCCACGGTAAAGGAGGCAGTAATCCCATATGTCCGAACAGACTCAGCCAGGGACTTAATTACTTTAAATTCTAGAGGCTCATGGTATCTCTGTTGATTTTCGTCTTGAAAAACTGGGAAGGCAAGTTCTGCTCAAGCAGTCCGCCAAGTATCCGGGCAAAATGTATGCCTATTGGCTCCATGTTGATATGGAGGAGGACCTAAAAGGGCTTGACCGGAAGGTCTTTCTATGTCATCTAAAAGAGTCTGACCAAAAGTTCTTTCTACGACCTCATTAAGCACAGGTTGACTTAGCTTATGTTCTCCCTTTTTTATACGGCTCCTTTTCATCTGTTGAATAAGTGCTCTCACTTCTTCCTCCTCTAACTCGCCGGAACTTTCTCTTTCTGATTTTAGCTCAGACAGATCTGGGTATAGTTGCCCCCTTTTTCCCTGTTCACTGTCTCCCTTTTCACTGATCGCCTTCTCTGACCTCTCCTCCTGTAACTGCTCCAGTGCTGACTGTCCATTTTCTATCATCTCACAGCAGCTCTGATCCTCCAGGCAGCCCTTAATCAATGTCCAAATGGGGCGGACTCCTGCCCTTAATGTGCCCTGTTTATAGGCAAAGTCCAAATCCCTCCCTAATTTTTCCCACGAAGCTGCTGTAAGGCTCCAGGACACTGTGAACCAAGGAGCTACAATGTTGCAAGCATCAAGAAACCTCTGTAAAGTATCCTTTTTTAACTTTAGTCCTTTTGAGCGTAGTAGCTCATCCAGGGCCAGAAAAATTGGATGTGAAGTCGTGGCGCCCATCTTAGTTATTAAAAATTTTATTCTTTGTTACTTTTACTTTAGGCCTGTATTTCTTCCCGGGTTTCCGCTCTCTCTTTATCTACAGAGAAAAGCCCCGTATTATGCCCTCTTTAATCGCAGATTCCCACTTACCTGGGAACTTACCCCCGCTCTTGTCGCAGATTTCCCTTTTCCTGGGAACTTACCAGTGCACCATCCTGACCGCAGAGAGTTCTGAATCCCCGTGCGGGCCACCAGCTGTCGCATCCACCTCGACCAGCAAGGAAGACACAACCCGGGATTTTTTTCAAAGCAGTTTATTCAGGAACCTTATCTGCAAGCTTCTCTCCCGCTTGCTTTTGCCCGCTTCTCTCTCGCCCCGCACCCACACTCCGGTTATAAGCCTCCTGGAAGGCCAATCCCGAAGTGCCACGTGGCATACACCAATAGGGTCGCAAACACGGAAGCAAGCCATAGCCATATAAGGAGTTGTTTTTCACAGAGAGCACTCGGAAGGCAGAAGCCAGCACCAACTTTGGTCGTGGCCATGCCATGCGGCCCCGCCATCTTAGGTCGGCTCCCTCAGCTCTCCACACAGAAGTGGATCTGTAACTTAAGTGGTACAGCACCTAGGCCCAGAGTTCAAGCCCAAGACTGGCATTTAAAAAAAAAAAGGAGAATCGAGGCATAAATAAAAGACCTAATTAAAAAAAAATAAAGCCAGGTGTGGGTGGCTCATGCCTGTAATACTAACTACTCAGGAGGCTGAGATCTGAGAACCATGGTTCAAAGCCAGCCAAAGTCTATAAGGCAGCAAAGTCTATAAGATTCTTATCTCCTATCAACCACCAGAAAACTGGAAGTGGCGCTATGGTTCAAGTGGAAGAGTGCTCGCCTTGAGCTGAAGAGTTCAGGGACAGTGCCCAGGCCCAGAGTTCAATCCCACAGCCGACAAAGAAAGAAAGAAAGAGAGAGAGAGAGAGCAAAAGAAAGGAAGGAAAAGAAAAGAAAAGAAAAGGAAAAAAGAAAGAGAAAAAAAGATATTCCCAGTTTTGGGATTCTCACAGGGAAGTTTCCTGCCCCTCCCCCTTTTTTGATGCCAGCACTGGGGCTTGAACTCAGGACCTGGGCACAGTCCCTTAGCTTTTTTGCTCAAGGCTGGCACTCTACCACTTGAGACACACACACACACACACACTCAAAAGAGTTCTGAAATAGCCAACCCCCACTCCCTCCGTGGAGATTGGTAGGTGGAGTTGAAAATTCTAACCCTTTAATCTTTCTGGGAACTAGCGCTATCTTGATCTTTTCTTATTCCAACCCAAGTCATCTTTTTTTTTTTGCGGGGTTGGGGAGACAGCTGTAGGGCTTCAACTCAGGGCCTGGATGCTCTCCTGAGCTTTTCTGCTCAAGGCTAGTGCTCTACTACTTTGAGCTACAGCCCTACTTCTGGTTTTCTGGTGGTTAAATGGAGATACGAGTCTCATGGCCTTTCAAGCCTATGCTGGCTTTGAATGGTGATCTTCAGATCTCAACCTCCTGAGTAGCTAGGACTACATGGGCACCTGGCCCAAGTCATCTTATTGCCATAAATTAAAGTAGCATCAGAAGGTTCACTATAAATAAATAATACACACATCTTCATCACTGGGAAATCCAAATGAAGACCAAACACGTTTATTACATTACAGGAAAGAAGGCACCAGGCGGAAGGGCAAGGCCAATAGTGGGGTTCTGACAGCAACTCCAGTTTACCCCAAAGGGTAAAGAGTGCAGAGTAGATTTGCAGAATACACCCCACCCAAAGATCTCTCCCACACCCACTCAGTACATTAACTACAAATCGGAGACAGAGCAATGGTCACCATGCCAACAGGAAGTTGGGGGCATCAGAGGAAGTTCCGCCCACCATGGATGTCCAATAAGACCGAGGAGAGCCTAAAGATATTATTGGAACCACAACAGCCCACTCACTGGGTTAAGGATCTGGCATGCACGTGGGTAGAGTTCTGCCACTGAGGGAGAGGGGAACTTTGGGCTGTGAGGACTGGCCATTACTTGTGAGAGCAGGGACTCAAAGATTTTTTGCAGATCCAGAATTTCTTGTTGTCACAGTTGGAGTCATTCCAGCCTTCGCCTCTAAATTCCACACAGTCTTGTCCCCCATTATTGTTGGGTTGTCCTTTATTCCAATATTTCTTCAGTCTGTAAAGTACATCCACAGGTCAGTAAGTCTCTGTGTCACGCCTGCCGTCCGTAGGCCTATGGTAGCCATATCTTGTTCAGGATCTAGTAATATGCCTAAATCTTTTGACCTGGTACTCTGATACTTGTGGTCTCCCGCTAGTTAGGAGAAATTATCTTGTTGAGGGTATAGCTTAGTGGTAGAAGGCTTGCCTAGTGTAGGCAAGACCCTGGGTTCAATCCTCAGCATAATACGTAAATACAAACAAACAAACAAACATACATACATATATACATACATACATACATACATAAAAAGATGCTGGGCACCAGTAGCTCACACCTATAATCCTAGCTGCTCAGGAGGCTGAGATCTGAGGATCACAGTTTGAAGCCAGCCTGGACAGAAAAGTCCATGAGACTCTCATCTCCAATAAACCACTCAGAAATAGCCAGGAGTGGAGCTATGGCTCAAGTGGTAAAGCACTAGCCTTGAGCACAAAGCATCTGAGAAGAAGGAGGAGGGTAGGGGGAAGAAGAGATGGGGAAGGGGAGGAGGAGAAGTAGAAGGAAGAGAAGAGAGAAGAGGGAGAGAGAAGAGGAGGGGGGAGGAGGAGGAGAAGGAAGAAAGAAGAAGGAAGGAGAAGGAAGAAAGAAGAAGGAAGGAGGAGGAGGAAGAAGAAGAAAAAGAAGAAACAAATCAACCAATTTAGACTCTACATCCTAAACCAATTCCCTTATTGGTTGTAATTAAGGACCCTGTGCACCTGTTCAGAGCTAAATGCCAGACAGTGACGACCAGAGCCTATAGAACCCGTTGTAATGCTTCAAACTACTCAGACCTCAGCCAGCATGCCCTGCCTCCCCTACTCCTTTCCTTAGATACCAGAGCGAAGGCCCCTGCCCACAGCTCCTCCACCCTCCATGTGCTGAGGAGTCTTGGTCCCTGCAATATGGTCCCTATATACTTTCCATCCTTTTTTTTTTTTTTTTTTGGTCAATGGTGGGGCTTGAACTTGGCCTGGGCGCTGTCTCTGAGCTCATTTTGCTTAACGCCAGAGCTCTACCCCCTGGAGCCACATCTCCACTTTCAGTTTTTTGTGTAGTTCACTGGAGATAACAATCTCCAAGGGGGTACTTTTCTGCCCAGGTTGGCTTTGAATGATGATCCTCAAATCTCAGCCTCCTGAGTAGCTAGGATGACAGGCATGAGCCATGGGTGCCTGGTGCTACTTTTCATCTTTATCTTCACCCTGGCATGAAGATGCTTCCTCTATGGAGAAGACCTCATAGGTTCTCATGTAATGGGAAGGCAGGAAGGACAGAGTTTCAGAGACAACCCCCCTGTCACTCCCTAGGGTGACATTCCGTGTTTACCTGTTGGACAGTGGTGAGCCATCCACCCAGACCCACGCGGCTTCCTGATTCAGGTCTGACAGCCCCATCCACGTGTAGCCTTTCTTCTTAGAAGTCTGTTGCAGGAAGCTCTGAAGAAAGGAAGGAGGATTCAAAAGGAAGCTCTGTGCCCCATTTTCTATACCTATCTTGTATCATGCCCCCCCCCAACCTTTTTGTGGTCATAGGACTTGAACTCAAGACCTGGACACTGTCCCTGAGCTTTTCTGCCCAACACTAGCATTCTACCACTTTGAGCCGTAGATCCACTTCCATTTTTTTGGTGGTTCATTGGAGATGAGTCTCATGGATTTTCCTGCCTGGCCTGGCTTTGAACCACGATCCTCAGCTCTCAGTCCCCTGAGTAGTTAGGATGACAGGTGTGAGCCACCAGCATCTGGCTTGTGTCTCCTTTTTATAGTTGAGATATGAAGTAGTCCCTTCCCTCTCCAAGGTTTTTTGTTGTTGGTGGTGGTCGTGGAGCTTGAACTCTGGGCCTGGACACTGTCCCTCAGCTCTTCAGCTCAAGGCAAGCGCTCTACCACAGCACCACTTCTGGTTTTCTGAGTGGTTTAGAGATAAGAGTTTCACAGCCTTTCAGGCCCAGGCTGGCTTTGAACCATGATCCTCAGATCTCAGCCTCCTGAGTAGCTAGGATTACAGGCGTGAGCCACCACACCTGGCACCCCTCCAAAGTTTTATGTGTTTGTTCCCTCTATGCTATTGAGAGTTGATTGTGCCTCTGTGTGTGTGTGTGTGTGTGTGTGTGTGTGTGTGTGTGTATGTGCTGGTACTGGGACTTGAACTCAGGGCCTGGGTGCTGAATGTTAGCTTTTGTGCTCAAGACTAGCTCTCTACCACTTGAACGACACCTCCACTTCTGGATTTTTTTTGGGGGGGTAGTTAATTGGAAATATGAGTCTTCTGGTCTCTCTGCCAGAATTGGTTTGAAACCATGATCTTTAGATCTCAGCCTTCTGAGTACAAGGTTCACCCTGGGAAGAAAAGGCAGGTTCCCCCCTCCTCTTGGCTAAGTCTCCACTCCCTACCTGTGCCAGCTAAGTAACTAGCATACCTGGAGGTAACATCCCGGGCAGACCCCCTTCTCCCCATCCTTCCCATCCGACCAGGGGAGGGTCCCAGGCCCTGAGTTCACATCCGCATCCAGTGTGGCCACATCTTCCCTCATCTGGCCACACCTTCTCCCTTCCCCTTTCCTACTTAAACGCAGGTCAGACCTCAGCCTGCCCCTTCCTTCAGCTATGTGGTCTCCACCTTGCATGGAGGGGGCAAGCAGTTCAGTAAAATAAACTCTTCCTGCCTGAAAGCACATGGTATTCTCTTTAAGCACTGAGTATCTTGAGGCACAACTCTGAGCCACCAGCTCCAGGCTTATGACTGGCTTTGACCTGCTAGAGCCATATTGTACCGATTGGTAATGCATGATTATGCACATGACCTCTTTTCAGTTCTCCATTGAAGGATGAACCCATTGGTGGCTGGAAATCTTCCATGCTGCGAGTATTTACACGAGGGAACTTGCCAAACATAACTCACCAGGACTTTTGAACTCTCTATGGAGATTGCTTACACAGAGCCCAGCACACCAACAAAGATGACTGACATTTTAAAGTATTCTAGCTGGGGGCCAGTAGCTCATGTCTGTAATCCTGGCTATTTCAGGAGGCTGAGATCTGAGGATCTCGGTTGGAAGCCAGTCCTGGCAGGAAAGTCCCCATGAAGTCTTACCTTCAATGAAATACTCAAAAAACGGGAGTGGCGCTGTGGCTCAAGTGGTAGAGCACTAGTACAAAGAGGCTCAAGGACAGCACCCAGGCCCTGAGTTCAAGAGCCCCACCACAACCGATGGAAAAAGTATTCACCATGTTCAGAACTTTTGCATGTCTCCTTTGCGAGGCACCCAGGCCATCCTCAACCACTTCCTTCTCCATTTCTGGAAGAAGCTTGGACTACCAGAAAACCATGTTGTATAGCCAGCCCATGTCCACCCCAGCTGGCCAGGGAGTACCTGCTCCTCATCACTTTCAATGCTGACGAGTTGGGCCTCCACTTCCTGGCAAGCGGTGACAGAGTCATGCCAGTTCCGTTGGGAATTGGAGAGGAAGTAGCAATGCCCTTGGAAAGATATCCAGTCCCAGGGGCAGGGCCGGCATAGATGGTCTGTTGAGAGAGATGGATCAGGCTTGGACCTAGCCCCCACCCCCTTTTTTTTTTTTTGGTCAGTCATGGTGAGACAGGATAAATTGAAAATGAAGCTTGGTGAAGGCAATTCAGAAACATGACATTGTGAAGCGCCTTTGCTTCACAGAGAGGCGACAGGGTGCCTTCCTTCCTGAGAGATGCATTATTCACCCCCAGAATGGACTTTATCTGACAGGATGTATGCCTTCCTGAGAAAAATGCTTCCCCCCAACTTAAAAGCCTCCTTCCCTAAATGTAGATAACAGGGTGCCTTCCTTATCTCAAAGATAAGGATCTGTTTTATGGCAGGATGCTTTCTTATCTGGAAAGAATGCCCCCAAAACATCCAGGAACTCAGAAAGTGACACCAGGCATGATTAGAGCAAAGATAAAACATCTGCCTTTTCATAATTTTAAAGCCAGACCCCCTGCCTAAATAACCATAACTGCCAAGTAGCTGGTTCTCTCTCTCTCTTTCTCTCTCTCTTCCCTCCTTCCCTCCCTCCCTCCTGTGATCAAAGCCAAAGACCCTAAGTGAAGAAGTGAAGACTCCCTACTTTTAGAGGGACATTTCCCAAACCTTCACCTGCATCCTGTGACAGTGGGGCTTGAACTCAGGGCCTAGGGCACAGCTCCACTTCTGGTTTTCTGGTAGTTCATTGGAGATAAAAGTCTCACAGATTTTCCTGCCTGGGCTGGCTTAGAACCACAATCCTCAGATCTCAGGCCCTAAGTAGTTAGGATTACAGGCATGAGCCACTGTTGCCCAGTCTCATGGATGTTCTTTTTTTTTTATTTTTATTTTTTGGGTCCAGTCGTGGGGACTGACCTCTGGGCCTGGCCGCTGTCCCTCAGCTCTTCAACTCAAGGCTAGCGCTCTACCACTTGCGCCACAGCACCACTTCTGGCTTTTTTCTTTTTGCTTATGTGGTGCTGAGGAATCGAACCCAGGGCCTCAGGCATGCAAGGCAAGCGCTCTACCACTGAGCCACCTTCCCACCCCTCATGGTTGTTCTTGTTCCTGTGTTTGCCCACCTTTCAAGCTGCCCAACTTTCAAAGGCCCTTCCTGGACACTACATCCTGGGAAAATCAATCTCCTCCCCACTTCCTGGGCCTCTTCCTTAGTCCCGGAGAACCCCCCAAAGTCCTGGCACCATCTCTCCTAGACTGAGAGGGAGTCTGAGCTTTAGAACTCAAAACAGAGGCCGGGAGCCTAGCTTAATCAAATACCTACAACATGGATGGCTCTCTGTGACCAGCAAACACCATTGCTCCCAATTCATAGATTAAGAGATCAAGGCTCAGAGAGGACCAGAGACCAATGAGAACCCCCATGTAAAGACTCTCTCCAGTCCTGGCATACCTAGTTAGTAGCCACTCACCCACTTGAGCCTTCATCCGGGTCAATTCCTGGTAAATCGTCTCCTGCTTTGACTGACTCTGCTTCAGTTCTTCTGAGTTAGGGACCTTAGAGACTGAGGGGTGGGAGACAAGGGGGAGAAAAACAAGCTGTGACTTAAAAACCCCTTCTGCCTGCCATGGCCTGCACATGGCCTCCAGCCATCCTGTCTCTGAGGACCAACATTTTGTGCAATGTCACACCCACAGAAGGCTCGATCACAAGGTCAAATGGAGACAGACAAGACTTCTGTGTGCGCCCCCCCCCTTCATCTTCTTCCCTCCTCCTTCTCCCTCCCCTCCACTGCACCAGAGGTGGGAGCCCTAACAAGCTGCTGCTCCCATTCCTAGCTTTACCATCTTTTTTTTTTTTGGTCTGTCGCAGGACTTGAACTCTGGGCCTGGACACTGTCCCTTAGCTCTTCAGCTCAAGGCTAGCACTCTACCACTTGAGCCACAGCACCACTTCAGTTTTCAGCCACTTTCATTTTTTTTTAATTATTGGAGATCAAAGTCTCATGGACTTTCCTGTCCAGGCTGGCTTTGAACCACGATCCTCGGATCTCAGCCTCCTGAGTAGTAGGATTACAGGCGTGAGCCACCAGTGCCTGGCTAGCTTCACCATCTTCCTCCCCTCTCAAGGAAGCCCCAACCCTCAGTCGTCTCCTGACCTTGAATGAAGGTGGCCATCAGAAGTGCAGCAAGTAGAACAAAGAGAATGAGCTGTAGCAGCTGGGGGACATGACCATGACCCAGAAAAGCTGGGAGAGAAAAGTTGGGGGTTATAATCCTTCAGTATCCCTGACTACCTGGGTAGCCTAGCTACAGCCTCCTCCTCCTCCTCCCCCCTCCACCCTCTCTCCCCTTTCCCCCTCCTTCCCCTCCTCCCCCCTCCTCCTTCTTATCCTCCCCCCCAAAATGGAGTGGTATAGAGGTCACCATTCACCTCCCCGTGACCCAAGATTCCAAGAGGAAACCCTGCTCTACCTGGAAAATTCCCAAGCCCCAAAGACGATCGGACTCCAAAGCTTTTTCCAGAATATCTGCTACCGTCGGAGATCAGCTCCTCCTCATCTGATGGAAGAAGGCATCAGTCAGAGCCTGGACAGGCTGAGACCCCCAGCTGTCCCCACCCCTTGCCATTCCAGATCCCCTCCCCTCACCACACTTCTTGGAGCTCCCAGTGGCTTAGCCCCAGCCTCACCTACTTCCTTGGAGTCCTCCATGGTCACCACCATCCCTTGGGGCCTATGGCTATTGGGAAGAACAGCTGATTTGCTGCTGCTGATTCCTGAGGTCTTAAATCCACACTTAGTCAGGAAGAGAAACAAGGAACTGGGCACCAGCACCGGAAGAGATGAGAGGAGGGAAGCCAGGGGCCTGGACATGCCATGACGCCAGGACGGGGGCTTCAGGTTCCAGAAATGGGAGGGAGGAGTTGGACATGGTCTAGGCTCCACCTACCTCTCTCTGTGTCTGTGTCTGTCTGTCTGTCTCTCTCTCTCTCTCCCTCCCTCTCTCTCTCTCACATATACAATGGTCCACTCACAGTGTGTCCAAACTTTGGGATGCCTTTAATGAAAGCAATCACTGGTCAGATGAAGTATTCTTCCTTCTTTTCCTTCCTTCCTTCCTTCCTTCCTTCCTTCCTTCCTTCCTTCCTTCCTTCCTTCCTTCCTTCTTTTTTGTCAGTCCTGGGCTTGAACTTAGGTCCTGAGCACTGTCCCTGAGTTTTTTTTAGTTCAAGGGTAGCACTCTACCACTTTGTGCCACAACTCCACTTCCAGCTTTTTTTTAGTGGTTCATTGGGAATGAGAGTCTCATGGACTTTCCTGCCTGGGCTGGCTTTGAACTGCAACCCCCAGATCTCAGTCTCCTGAGTAGCTAGGATTGCAGCTGTGAGCCACTGGCACCCAGTTAGATGCAGTTTCTTTTATTTCCTTCTCCACTGATGGCAAAGCAGACGATGCCCCATCTTTTCCTCTGAACCCCATGCTTGCTGCCTTAGCTAGCTGAAGTTTCTCACTTAGGATGAGGTTAGATGCCTTAAGATTTGAGAGTAAGTATCACTGCTTGAGTCATTTGTGTTTAATGCCTGAAACCATCATATGGTTTTAATTGCATTACAGATTCTTTCACTTTATAATCTTCTTCTTCTTCTTCTTCTTCTTCTTCTTCTTCTTCTTCTTCTTCTTCTTCTTCTTCTTCTTCTTCTTCTTCTTCTTCTTCTTCTTCTTCCTCTTCCTCCTCCTCCTCCTCCTCCTCCTTCTTCTTTCTCTTTAGTCCTAGGGCTTGAGCTCTGTCTCCTAGCCTGTCTGTGCTCAAGGCTAGTGCTCTACCACTGATTTTTCTGAGTAGTTTATCGGAGATAAGAGTCTCACAGACTTTCCTGCCCAGGCTGGTTTGGAACTACGATCCCAAGATCTCAGCCTCCTGAGTAGTTAGGATTACAGGCGTGAGCCACCAGCACCTGGGTCATTTAATATTTCCACACTGTAGGAGGGGATCAGATGCACAATCAACCCAGCCTATAGTTGAGTCATTATGAGGTACAGGATGGTCAAGTAACTGGCTCAAGATCACATAGCTAAAGGATAGTGGGGTCAGAAAGTGATCTCAAACAAATCACGTTCTGAGACAGGGAGAGAGACAGAGACAGACACACACAGATACATAGACACACACATACACACAGAGTCACATAATCTAAAGGATGAAGCAGAAAGACTCCCAGAATTATCCCAAATGGGAAAAAAAACCAGAAGACACGAATAATAGGTAAATGGAAACTAAAACAAAATGTCTTTAAGAGATGGAAGACTGTAGCAGTGAAAGAGCAAACTACTAAAACATTCAAGAGTAGGAGCATTCAGACTTAAAGTCCATTCTAAGACTCTATTCAGTTGCTTTTTTTAATTTTGAGAACATGCAGAACAAACTTTGAATGAGACTCCAAAGGAGGCTATTTAGAGTGGGTGAGCATTACCTAATCTGGAATGGAAACAAAGGGCAGTATTCTACCTTTTGATCTGAGAAATGGATGCCCTGATGTCTTCATAAATAAAATACCCTGATCTGTATATCTAAAATTTGTGCATTGTGTGGTATGCATGTTATATCGCCATTGAAAATTTGAAAATCAATGTGTATGTTACAGGAAGTTGTGGTAGGTGGAGGATTTTCCTCTTTGCTCTATTTTTAATTATGTCTCAGTTCCAGTCCTGGGACTTGAACTCAGGGCCTGGGTGCTGCCCCTGAGCTTTTTCCAGTCAAGACTGGTGCTCTACCATTTGAACCATAGTACTACTTCTGGTTTTCTGGTGGTTCACTGGAGGTAAGAGTCTCACAGACTTTCCTGCTGAGGCTTGGCTTCAAACTGAGATCCTCAGATCTCAGTCTCCTGAGCAGCTAGGATGATCCGTGTAACCCACTGTCGCCCAGGGGAAATATTTTATTGTAAGTGCGTTTTAGATTTCTGACAATTTTTACAAAGATAGTATAGAGATTTCCCATAGTCCTGAAAGGACTAATTTGGAAGAGAGTGAACTTGGTTTGAAAAATCGACTTAAACATGTTTTTAATAACTGAGTGTAAAACTTCACTAGATTCATTAAAAGTGAATGGTAAAAACTTGACAATGATTCATGATTTGTATTTTTTAAAAAGTCTTAGCTAGCCAGTGGCCAGTAGATCATGCCTATAATCCTAACTACTCAGGAAGCTGAGAGCTAAGGATTTGAAATTCAAAGCCAGCCCAGGCAATAAAGTTTGTGAGAGTCATCTCCAATGAGCCAGCAAGAAATCCAGAAATAGAACTGTGGCTCAAGTGGTAGAGCACTAGCCTTGAGCAAAAAAGCCAAGTAAGAATATGGGGCCCTGAGTTCAAGCTCCAGTACTGGCACCAAAAGAAAAAAATAAAGTCTAGTTATCACCTAGAAATAGAATGGAATATACTACACATAATAAACTTCACTAAGAAACCACAGGATACCAATGAGTGGAGAAATCTAGACTCACAAAGATTCATTTAGGCTTGTGGGTTCAGAAGATTGAATCCATGCTTCCCTGGCTGACCTCTTGACTAGAACATTGGGCTGGAAGGAGCAAGTGACTAGAGACATCCTTGCTTTGTGGCAGGCAAGAAGAAGGGAGAGAGGGAGGGGAGGAAGGGAGGGAAGAAGAGAGGAGAGAAAAAGAGAGAGGCGAAAAGAGAGGCAGAGAGAGGAAGTAGAGGAGGGGAAGGATGAAAAGAGAAGAGAGAGGAGAGAGGAGGAAGAAGATGATAATGAGGGAGAAGAGAGAAAGAGAAGGGAGAGGAGAAAAGCAGGAGGGGCGAGGGAGAAGAGAGGAGAGATAAAGAAAAAGAGGGGAGAAAGAGAGGATTGAAAGAGAGAGGAAGAGGAGAAGAGAGAGGAGAGGAAATGAGGGAAGAGGAGAGGAGAAAAAAGCAGAGAAAGAGAAGTAAGAGAGAAGAGAGAGGGGAAAGAGGAGGAGGAGGAAGAGGAAGAGGAGGAGATGAGGGTCATGGTTCGAAGCCAGCTTGGATTTAAAAAAAAGGAAGAAAGAAAACACAAAATAAAACAGAAATGGAGCTGTAGCTCAAGAGATAGCTCACTAGCCTTGAGCAAAAGAAGATCAGGGACAGTGCCCAGGCCCTGAGTTCAAACCCCAGGACCAACACCAAAAAATAAATAAAATACAAGTTAAATGTATTCATTTCCATGATTCTCTAAATCTCTATTTGTAGTAAGCCACAGGCAGTGCTCAAACATGGGAAGGAAACAGCTTGCCAGGGCAGCCACAGTGAACCCCATGGAGAACTCTTGAACCTAGATGGTCCTTCAAAAACAATTTCCCCATCCTGGCCTAATGTGGCCAGACTTTCTTCATCCCTCTGCCATAGTAGCTACAGCAGGAAGGATTCCCCCCACCCCACCCCGGCCTTCACGAGTGCCCTGTGGGACTGGCAGCTGACCTCAGCCTCCATCAGAACCCCCAGAAACTGGGGCTACAATTTGTCCTTCCTTAAGGAGAGATCTGGTCACCATGGCGACATCAATGGGAGGTAGGGGCTGGGACTCCAGCTCCTGATTGCTTGTGGGAATTAATTCCCCCACCAGTAAAGCCCGCCCCCAGCCCCGCCGTCCAAAGGGGTGCAGGAGAGATGAACGGAAAGTATCTTTGTGCAAACCTTTTTAATCTCAGCAAGGAAAACAGAACAGATCAACAGAACACCCCCGGCCCCGCACCCAAACACACACACACACACACACACACACACACACACATGCCCCTGAATGCAACCCACACCTGGTTGTTGTATCAGTGTGTCATCCCCACAAGCAATTAAGTCAAAGGGGTTCCTGAAGGCATTAAAGGAAGGACCACAGTGGTCCAGACTCAGGTGAGAGAGGGGGAATGGGACGGAGAAGACTCTCAGGGCTTTTTTGTCAAAGAACTCGAGGAGCAGGTGGACGAAGGTTTTTTACAGATCCATAAATTTGCATTGTTGCACTTGGCATCATTCCAGCCATCGCCTATGAACTCCACACAGTCTTCCTCGCCAACGTTGTTGGGCTCTCCTTTGTTCCAATACTGCTTGAAGCTTAAAAAAACCCAGCCACAGCATGAGAGTTGGCCCCAGCCCCTGGTCCCCTCAACCAAGGTTCTGACCCTTGGGAACTTGCCTTCTTCACCCTTGTTTCCCTAACACACCCATGTTTAGTCATCCTGCCTGTTCTTGACCAAGTAATATGTCTACTTTGAACCACAGCTCCACTTCCGTTTTTTCTGGTGGTTCATTGAAGAGTCTCACAGACTTTCCTGCCTGGGCTTGCTTTGAATCACAATCCTCAAATCTCAACCTCCTGAGTAATGAGGATTACAGGTATGAGCTTCTGGTGCTCGGTTCTCAAGGGTAGTTTAATCAGAGTCCCAAAGGGCCCCCACCCCCGACTCCTAATCCATAGAGTGTTCAAGTCTTGTTAGATTTACCCTTGTGACAGAGGTAAGCCATTCACCCACCGCCACGTGGCTTCTTCATTCAGGTCTGACAGTCCTATCCAGGTCTGGCCTTTATTCTTTAATGTCTGCTGCAGAAAGCTCTGGAAGGGGAGAGGAGGGTTCAGGAAAGAGCTCTGTACCCCATTTTACAGCTTGTGTCTGTTCAAGCTGTCTTGGATGCAACTTCCTTCTGCAATGTAATCCTTTCCCCTGTATCAGGATGGCCCTGGGGCTTGAACTCGGGGCTTGGGTAGTGTCCTTGAGCTCTTTGGCTCAAGGCTAGCATTGAACTGTTTGAGCCATAGTGCCATTTGTGGCTTTTTGGTGATTCCTTGGAGACAGGAGTCGGACAGACTTTCCTGCCCCGGGTTGGCTTTGAACCACAATCCTCAGATCTCAACCCCCTGAAT